AAAATCAAGTATTTGTGGGAAATATTGTTCTCTGAGGGGCAGACAGAGTCTCCAAAAGCTCAGGTTTATATGGGCAAAAAGAGATCAGAGAATGGACAAATTAATATAGACTCAGATTTGACCAAGGGGTTTCACTTATTTATTTACTTTTTGCTTGTATGCATAAAAGGCAGCTATACTGATCTGAAGAATGAAAGGACTATTCACCAACTGTGCATCTCTTCTTAAATGTTTCAGCCTGTCTAGTGTTACTTTTAGGTAACTTATTCACAGAGAAAGGACTTTCTTGGATATATCCATTTCGCACCTGCTGTTGACTCCACAGCAGTCATTAAAGTCTCAAGTTTTCACCTCTTAACATTCAGAGCCCTACAGAGCATCATCTTGGAGAAATGGGATCATTCAGGGTGTCCACAAAAAACCCTGCTTGCTACTGGCTCTCTTTATGCTACTCTACCACATCCATAGATGCTTTTTCTTCTATCTTCTGTAACTAGGTTTCCTCCTCCTCCTCTTCCTTTCTTCTTCTACTTTGCTGCCAAAGACCTCCAACTCCTTACAGATTCAGTTCTGGAATGGGCACCATCTGGTGACATGGAGTTTCTTAAGTTCTGCGCTATTCATTTTGTGACTGCATAAATCATTCTACAAGCTTCTCTGCCCATTGTAAGATGGTTAGGGGCATCGTTGGCCTCTATTCAGTACATTCTAAGAAATACCTCCAGACACGGTCCATGTTCCCTGTGAGTACCAAAAAACAAAACAAAACAAAAACCCAAGACCTAGAGAAATGATTGAATATGTCTCTATTTCCTAGAAACTTTATGACTCGGGACTAACTAGAGAGTGAGAAGAAATTATCTTTACCATAGATGGCCTCAGAAAGAATCCTGATGAAATAGATAAAATTCAATTCCTTGATGAATTCCAGTTTATTTGCCAACATCCAGAAGCCGCTGAAAGGCGTGTGATATATTTTACTTGTCACCGTATCAGTTACAGGCGATAAAGATATCATTAGGATAAAAGAGCCTTTGTATTTTGATCTAAGATATGATGTTGGCAGCAATTTTTAGCAGGCTACAGATACCTAACACATTGTTGTACCATCCATAATGCCTTGTTAGGTTAGTGCAAGAAGACATTCTTGAGCTTCAGTGCTTTGTTGGCAAGTCACTGTGAATTCAGAAGAAGAAGAAACCAAAGCAATACAATGGTTAAGCAGCAAAGAACTGCCGCATGTCTCACTAATAAGATGTCTTGGGCCCATGCTCACCTTTCTAAATGCTGTTTATCTCATGGGTTTCTCCCCCGTTTTGTGATGAGGGAAGAGCTACAATCCCAGCTGTACCTTAGTGAGCTGACTGAAATTGCTCAAGTTTGTCAACTTCCCGGGCTTAAAAAAAATCATGTTCTTCACAATTAATTCTCCAAGCATATGTCATACCATTTCATACATTAGAGAGCTCATTAAAAAGCATTTAAGACGGTTTGTTGTGTGTGCTTCATTAAGGTTTGCTCTCCTGCATCATCATCGCCAATCCCCCCTGGAGTCAGTCTAGAAACACTGATGCTGTCCTTTCCCGCATTAACAAAACTCATCACTAAATTTCCTCTCCGGTGGCTCTCGTCATTTTCTACAATAACAACTACAGCACTTGCATCCGTGCATTTTACCTATGCCCCTAGAAATCAGTGCACATTTCAGCCCCCAGGGCTCCTTGCTTTCCCGTGCAGTTCACTCTCAGGTGTTGGGATGCCATTTTCTCCTTGGCCTCTAAGTTTCATGCTGCTTGCCTCAACTTCTCCTCTGGTCATTCCCCTGGGCCTGTGTTCTGGATGACAGATGGAACATGAGTCCTCCTCTGTCCCCAAACTCTGCCTAGGAGATCCCTACGAGCCTCCTAGTTCCAAGGACCATCCATTTGCTGATGACGCTCACGTTTCCATCTCTGGGACTGGTTCAGCTTTTCAATCAGTTCTCATATTCATATACTCTCAACTTCCTACTCACCAAACTTCTTGGGTCTAATAATCATATCAAAAGTAGTAGGGAGAAAAGCAGAAGTCTTGACTCATCATCTCTTCAGTTCATTTCTCCCCTGCCGAGCTTAACGTGAAAGTTCATCTCCTCAGTCTCCTAGCCCTGTGCACTGCTCATGAAAAGCCCTCACAAACTTCCCAGTGTGCTCTGGCCATGCTAATTCTAAAACAGCCCATCTGTCTGTCTGTCTGTCTGTCTGTCTGTCTGTCTCATTCCCTTTCTCATTCTGTGTCTCTGTCTCTGTCTCTGTCCCTCTGTGTCTCTGTCTTTCTCCCCCAACTTTGTCTTTCACCTCCTCATCTCTCTCTCCTTCTCTCTCTCACTCATCCTGCTTTCTGACACTCTAGGTATTCATCCTTGATCACTGTCCTGGCCTCCTTCCTACTCAGTACACAAAACCTTCTGATGTGATGCTTGTAACATAGCAGTTTTTGACTTGACTACAAGTAAACAAGAAAAAATGCAGTAAGATTTTGACATAGTCTGAAAAATCCCATTCATCTTGCTACATGGTTTTATTACTGAACAGTAACTGAGACAAATATCATTTGCATGTTCTAGATTCTCATCCATCTCTTGATCCCTGTGGACATATACAAAGATAATATAAAAACAATATGGTGAAAAGACCCATGATGAACACTGTCACCCCAAAACAAAAACATTATATAAGACATTCTAGTACATACAAGCATATAATTTATAAGACTAGTTTTGATAAATTTTCAAAAGCTCAAAATATCCAAGAGTAAAAACAGTGAACCTCCCTGCATTCTAACACACTTGTCAGAGAGCAGCTCTAGACTTTACAAGCATTAAACATGTTAAAATAAAATTTTGGATTTTGGTGTTACTGGGGTTTGAACCCAAGACCTCATGCTTGCTAAAGAAGTATTCTACCAATTGGGTCAAACTATCCACCCTTCAAATAAAACCACACCTTGATAATGGCTTTAGGTAAACATAAGAAAAGCCAATGTGAGAAATATTCAATCTGAAAAATTAGATGGAAATTTGCCTTTTGAGAAGGAAAAGAGGGGAAAATACCCTAGAAATCATTTCTTTTCCCTTTTCTCCTCTCTCTTTGTCTCTCTGTCTCTGTCTCTCTGTCTCTCTCTCTGCTGGTCCTGGGGCTTGAACTCAGGGCCTGGGATCTGTCCCTGAGCCTCTCTGTGTTCAAGGCTAGCACTCTACCATTTGAATCACAGTATCACTTCTAGCTTTTTCTGAGTAGTTTATTGGAAATAAGAGTCTTATTGACTTTCTTGCCTGGGCTGGCTTCAAACTGTGATCCTCAAATCCCAGCCTCCTGATTAGCTAGGATTACAGGTGTGAGCCACCAGCCCCTGGCTCATTTCTATCCAGAAGAAAGGATTCTGGAGTCTGGGGATATCTGAGTGAGAAATAAATACCTACACCAAGGTAAAAGGACAACTCTGAGGCCATTCTTGCTCTTTAGCCTAAAGATTGATAGGCTGCTTTGGGTGAAGGTAGAGGGCAACTACTGGCAGGGGAAAAACACTAACCAGAGGGTGACAAGGTACAGACAGAACCTTCTTAAACTACTGTTGTTAGTGTTTATGGAAGAAAACGCTAAGCTGGAAGTTTGATGTATATCAAAAGAGATGCTAAAACCCCAAATGGGAAACTAAATAGGACTTCCACATTGCTGACTAGAGATGATATCACGCACAAAATAATAATAATAAAAAACACATAAATAGTGGTCCCTTAAGGCTTTCCCTAGTGACTGTAGTCACCATACTTGATCTATTTCCCCTGATATTTGTACAACTAAGTTCTGTATAAACAATTTAAAGACACATATCTCTGAACATACAATTGTTGCGAGGTGATACAGCACTACATCGACATACTTGTCAATATGGAGGCATAAAACCATCCCCCCAGGTTATTTAGAGAAGCTGTTGGCAATGCTCTGACTCTTGTAGGCTTCTCCCACCATAGATGTGTCCAGCAGCCTCTGGAAAGTAGCTTTAACGGACCACTCAGAGAGCTTTGTAGGAGCCCCTTGTAGTATGTGTAAGGCCTAACTCAAATCAGCCTAACCTAGTCTACACTACCTATAATGTCTGCCCCTTTCTTATCTTGGAAAATGAATAAGCCTTTGCTTCTCTGGCATTCTGACTCGGTGAATTCTGTCACATTTCATGCATGGGCTGAGGCCCTCCAACCTAACAATTTCGGTGATACTCTCTCTGCATCTTGCTTGGGAAAGCAAATGGATAAGCTGATGGTTGAAGGGATATGTATAGAACAGGAGAGACCAGAGAGTTGGGGAGAGACCAGAGAGTTGGGAAGAGACTACACTGCCAAACTTACTGGGTCAACAGACAACTGACAAATCTCTTGATATAGGTCAGATAAGACCAAAAGACAGATTGAGTTTATTAGATCTTATCCAAAAGATCACTATGTATTAATTAGATTTTATCTTAGGACTTTTGTTAGATGGTTATAGAAAGCAGGTAATCCTCTTCCTTGGCTGTGAGGGGAAATCACCTTGGACCATGAAAACATCTATCATGGAAGGAGAAGAAAAATGCAGAAAGACCAGAAGAAAAATGGAGCATGGTCAAATAGAACAGGATATCCACCTCTTAATATAGACGTTTTGCTTACATGATCCAGTAGATCCTTTCCTTATTGAGCTAGTCTTGAGTTGCATCTTTTGATGCCTGTCACTAAAAGCATTGCATTGGAAAAATCCTTTCCAAATGGGTTGGAAGAAATCTGTTGCCCACATTTCTGCTACACTTGTATGGTTCTGAATCAAGAAAATGCAAAGGGTTGAAATAACAGTTTTAGTAGGCTCTTGTGAGAATGAAATCTTTCCATAGAGACCATGAGGATTCTAACTTAAGATGAGACCTAAATTGAAAGATGAACTGCTTTTGGCTGGAAGGTAAAAAATAAAAAGATTCAATTATGTTACCTGGTAATGAACTCTCTGGGAGCCAGAAGAAACTGATTGCAAGTCCTAATGAAAATGAAAAAAAAAAACCATATCTTAAAATGAGTTTGAACAAGCTGCCCACAATTCTATCAACTAAACTCTCAATTGAATGCAAAGACACTCATCTAGGAAATATCAAATTCTTCCAAATTCATCAGATGAGTAATGTCAGAAATAATAACATACCAAGTTGGATTGAGAAGAGACAGATCATTTGTCTTTGAAACTGAGATATCCTAAATGGTATTTAGAGGTAAGTAATATATTGTCATTTCCAGGGTAAGAGATAAACAAAAGTAGAAAACATATGCTTTTGTTATTTAAAAAAATGAGGATACTACTTAATTTGCATCTGAACTTTTGACTTTAAAGAGGTTTTCTAGAATGCCATCAACCACGTAGTCTCCATTTTATGCTGAATTCATACTGTCCTGGTAACTCTGTGGAGGGCAACTTGCTTTTTGCAAGTAGGAGTTTCCATAAGCCTCAAGGAGAAAGTCACTCACCATCTCTATCTGACCACAGTACAAATTAACAGGGGAGAAATGCGTGTGAGGCTTTACTGGCAGGTTCAGAAAGTCTGCCTCTGTTTATGAAGGTTTATAACTAAGTTGTCATTCTTGTCATATCCCCCAGGCCTTCTTGCTAATGAGTGTAGTGACTCTATTTTCAGATGTCAGCAAGTCTGGCTACCTTTGTCCTTACTGTTACCTCCCACAGGGCTGAATCACATTATTTTCTGTGTCCAAGTTAGTTTTTAAACTTCTCCTTATTTGTTGAGTTTATTCTTACTAATGAAAAGAAATCTACTCCCAATTGACTATTTAGTTGAATAAGCAAGCCAACATCATTAACAAAATTACTTGATTGGTACATTTTAAATGTAAAAAAAAAGTTGGGCAATCTTTATCATTCACTTTTTTATTGCAGATTTAACAAAATTCCACAGCAAAATTCAAATGTCATTTTGAAAAGTAGGACACTATAGTTTCACAGAATATAGATTTGAACTTGAGCCTATGTTAAAAAGTTCACAAACTTTTACATATTTCGCTCAAACTCTCCCACGCTCATGTCAGTACTTAAAATTGGGCTTCTATTGCTAAATAGTTTGCATTCCTAATTCCAGCTTTATTCTCAACAGTGTTAAAAAGAAATATTAATAAGTTTACATCATTGTGCTCATCCCACTCAAATGTATTTCTGCTGAAACAGAATTAAATATTGTAACTAAGGGTACAACTTGAAGGGATTTTAAACACCTGTGTATCTACTCTAAGATATTTATTTATGTATATAATGTGTTGCACAAAATAGAGTTGTATCCATCAGAATTATCCAACAGTTTGGAAAAAACACAAATGCCTCAGTCTTATCTAAGAAAAGCAACTCTAAAAAGCATCTCACAATAAAAAGCACTAATAACGAAATGTTTCTTTAGGCTTTACCATTTGAAGAGTGAAAGCAATTAATAAACCCTGTGAAAATACCAACGTTACAGCAATTATAATGATGAGTTTGATTCTCCTGGCTTTGCTGGTTCAGATTACATTCATAGGAACATCATCTATTAAATTACCCTGCTTTCTTTCTTTATGGCAAGACCAGATTGAGGGGACAATAATAACAGAAAAATTATTCCTTTGTGACTGGATAAATTCTCAGTGAAATATGGGTTTTTCCTGTAGGACTTTCCTATTTTAAAAGATATAGCTGGCAGTCTTTGACAGAAATCAGATACGAAACATTGAGTAAACCCAAATCTCTGTCTTCTTTTATCCATCAATATCTTTTGAAGTTTACACAGTTCAGAAAACCAAACACAGGTGTATAATCTGGCAAGAAGACAGAAGTATCAAGCTACAGTTACGAAATATACTCAAGCTACAGCCCCTTGGAATTAATCCAGTCAATTCTTTTCCATTTCAACCAGCAAAGTAAAAAACAGAAGTGATGGGGTGAGGGAGGGAAAGAAATTTTAATAGCATACATTTCCATTTCACTTAGAAGCACACACACACCCACACACCCACATACACCTATATACACATACACAGCTGGTAATGGTTCATAGAAATGGACAGCTGAATAGCATCATTAGTAAAATAAACTCACCTCCTGTAAACGGTCTATGTACATACGGCAAGTCTCCAAATCACAGTCTCCACGCACAACGAGAATACCTAATGGAATGGCTAAGAGTAAAGGAGAAAAGAAAGGTGTAAAAATAACATAGTTGATTCTTCTAGATGGGCATAATTCTGTTGCTCAGAGATTAACAGGTAATTCCCTAAGTATTCTGAGCATTTCCATACAAAGAAATTAGCAACCCCCTTCCTAGGCCCCCATGATGATTTGTTTCTTCCTACAGTCGCCCTACATTTTCCTTGTATGATCCATGTTTTTCCTGCCACCTGCCTTTCTCACTCTATCTCAGTGGCCCTCATATGAAGTATAATATATAATATAGTAGCAATGGTCTGGAGGCTGCTTCCAGCCAGCTGAATTCTACACGTCCAGTAGAAGTCATGAGGATACAGCGTGAAGGAGAAATCTAACATTCAGGTTTCTGGACACATCCCCCTTTCTCTCTCAAATGCATGGTGTTTCATAGTTTGGTTGTTTTACAACAAATCTAAGGCAGTATTAGAACCTGGTGGCCAACATCACATGTGTGAAATCAACAATCCTGCCCATTCTTTGAGTTACTTTAAAAACTGTTTTAATCAAATAATCCTTGACTGTGAATTGGAAAAAAGAAAGGCAATTTCTATCACAATTCTATGGTAAGGATTTATAAACTCACTTCTAAATGCAAACTCCAGTGTTGCTTTGGTTTGGCAAACCATTCAAGTTAGCTCTTTGTTCTTGTGAATTACGTACCTCCTCGGTTTGCACACTAAGGTGTTTATAATAGGTATTTCCAGTCTTATGAAGATGAAATGTAGCCCTGTGTTTTAAATTGAATTTCTAAAACATCAATATCAGGTAGTTCTCCCTCATTCCTTTCACTATCTTTTGAGCATCTTTTATTAGAAAATCAATATACTCAAGCATCTATTTCCTAATCTATCATTATACTACAAAGAATAGTGAGCAGTAGTAGTTCCACAGTTACATTCTTTCTTACTTACAAGTAATTTTCACTCCTCCAATGGAAAAAATAACTGTTGTAGAAAAAAAAATGTTGTAGACTGACACTTTTCTTTAGGGTTTTTCATTATTGATAATTAACTGCCCTATTCCATTGACATTTCATTCCTGTTAATTAAGAGTAGTGAGGGTGCTTATGGCCTGAGCAGTAATGTCACTATTCCTGTCCTGGAAGATTCGTCTTAGTTTGGGCCAGGAGACACTGCTCCAATAAGCATTAGTCAATATTCAGTCTATGCAATGGAATATTTATTGCAGTCATCAAGTGAAATCCAAAAGTTCTAAGATTTAAAAGAAGGAAAAAAGTTGGTTCTGAGAACAAGATGGCAGATTTAACGCATATACTTTCTCTCCCATCAGCAATGCTCTGACAGACGTTAAGAAAGTTATAAATCAACAGAAGTGAGCAGAGATTGTAAAGAGAAAAGAGAGATGGAAGGAAAGGATGAAGAACTGGCAGCTATGTGGGACCTTACTGAGTCAAATATTACGGTATGGGTGAAGATAGATGGAGACTGACACAGTTCACCCGGACAGGGTCTTCATCAGGTTTGCAACCGGGCAGCACTGGGATATCAGAAATGCTTACAGAGGGCAGCTAAAACAGAAGCCCTGGCTGCTACATTCCCTACTGACCATTCTTGCTAGGCACAGTTGTCTAACAGAAAATAAGAGTAACTGTCCATGTGCAGAATACAATGATCCTGAGCTGCTTTCTCCCAACTCAACGCCCCCAAAAGCTGTCAGCCAGAGCCCTACTTTCTTGGAAAGAAACTGGAATAAGCTTATGTCATAAATGCAGCAAACTTGTGAGGGAATGTATTAGCAGGGGAGCAAGCAAGAACTTGAGTGTAATCTATGCACACACACACACACACACACACACACACACACATACACACGTTCAACATCAAGTTGCAAAACTGTTAAATAAAATGGATCCCTTTTCCTACTTTGCAAATAATCCTTCTTGGATGAGATACTTGAATAACTTACCAAGATTCATTAATTCTTATACTCTATGGAGTGTTAAGACATAACAGTGTTTGCAACCCAGAGCTAGATTTCTATCTTTTTCAATTCTCAGGCTTCATCCAAATCACTGACTCCTCTATATATGCATGTTGATCATCCAGACCTAACCTTGATCTTTCTCCTAAGCCTAGGCAAATACCTGCCCCTATGGGGTTTATTTGTATTCATAAATAAGTGCCCTGTCCCCTGGGAGGCCAGCTGAGAGGGTGCGGCCTAGGGAGGTCCTAGGGGTAGGCTTGGAACCTTTGGGGTAAGAATGTGACAACTTAATGCATAGTTTGCAAGTGGGTAGAACAAGCTCAAGGTGAGTCTTTTCATTTAGACACAACCACCCAGGAAGCAAAGCAAAACTGGAAGAGAATCACAGCAAAGCCATCTATCTAAAGCTCAGGCAGAGCTCTCCTGGACTTAAAGGCAGCATTGATGAGCTACATCAAGTGCCTCCATACCAAAGCTGGAAGTCAGTGCATTTTTTTACCCAGGTCAGAGTTTCCATCTAGCTTTTACATGTTCCACTTTGCACATGAATTATCAGGCAATGGAGAAATCTCTCTAGAGCAGAATCTAGTAACCAAAACAAAAATGGAATAAAATGAAACTTAAGGGAAATAAATATTTTTTAAAACTTTAAGATACCCAGAGTTCAGAGAAAATGATCCATCCATGAAAATGAAATGTGCTTATATATTTAAAGGAGCATAAAAGTAAGAAAAGGAGGAGAATCCTGTATCAAGAATCTACTGGATTGATTACCCCAAACGAAGGGTGAATGCTCAGTTTAAAAAAAAAAAGAGGGGACTGGGAAGGTGGCTCAGTGGTAGAGTGCTTGCCTTGCAAGCATGAGGGCCTGGGTTCAATTCCTCAGCACTACATAAACAGAAAAAACTGGACGTGGTGCTAGGGCTTAAGTGGTAGCTAGCCTTGAGCTGAAGAGCTGAGGGACAGCGCCCAGGCCCAGAGTTCAAGCCCCACAACCAACAACAAAAAGAGGAATAGCTAAGTAGAAGAAATGGAAAACCTAAGGGTAAAGGAGAAAAGCAAAAGAAACCCCCAAGGAGGTGAAGCTAGAAGACCTCAGGAAGACGACATTTGGGCTATTAAACAATTAGACCACGACTCCAGAGTCAGACATGTCAAAAACTGTCATCACTAAGATTCTCAAAGCCCATATAGAACTATTTTCTAACCAAAGATTAAAATGTCTTGGAAGTCCTGCATCTGTGTTGGTGTAAATATAATGAATACGCAACACTATATCACTTTGAAAATGTTCTGCTTCCACCTATTCCAGAGAACAAGTGTTAGACTATAGTAAAGCAGAAACACTCAGACATTCTTTCTAACAATGTTTCCAATGATTTGTAGAACCCCGGCTAACACCTGCCAAATACTTTCCAGGACTCAATTATCACCTTGCCCATGCAATCCTTTCAGAATGGGCACAGGTGCACTTTCAAGAAGCTGAAGTTAGACAATGACCAGAGATGATTTTTGGCACTCTTGGGAGCCTCAATCTCCAAGTTATTACATCACATTTCCTTTCCACAGAGAGGTTTGGGCTTTGCTACCCAATTTTCCAGAATAATTTGCTGGCTGATATAGGGATAGATGCACAGGAGGTAAATATGTATTTATCAAGAAAATGGCAAATATAAAAATCAGCATAAAATAGTTATCTTGGAACAAGAAGGATGAGGGAGGTGTTTGTTCTATTTCTTAATCAAGGTGATATTATGATTAGCCTTTAATATCCTCATTTTAAATATACATAATTCAATATGTTTGACTGGGCTACAGGATGCCCACATTATTTCTGGCTGTGAGAATGTGTCTGGAAGAGATGAGAATTCATATCATGAACTGAGCCAAAAATGTGTGGGAGATGGAATCCTAACATCAAATCTGTGGACGGCCTGAAGAGAAGAAAAGGAAAGGCACATTTTTTCTCTCCTTAAGCTAGAACACCATCCTGTTTTGCCATCAAACATCATAGCTCTTAATTTTCTGGCCTTTGTGCTCTTACATCAGTGACAGGCCAAACCCACCCTAGTTTTCAGGCCCTCAACCTATGCTGAGACATACACTATCACCTCATCTGGTTTTCAGGTCTTCGGACCTGGATCAACATAGACCAGACTTTTTCCTGTTTTCCCAACTTGCAGATGACATAATGTTCTACCTGGCCTTTATTTGTAGGAGCCAATCGCATCCCATCACAGATCTCTTCTTAGGTATTTACGTATTCTAATGTCTGTATTTCCCTAGTGAACGCTCATTAGTAGTTGCATACACAGAGATAAGGCAGCCATCAGCCAATCAGGAAGTGAGCCCTCAAGACAATGAAATACTCAGGAAATTATAGAGTTAACTGGTGATCCTCAGCCTTGAGGGAATTATCCTACAAATTGCTTATTGCCCACCAAAACATAAGCCCTGCCCTGGCTCTCTCTCAGCATTTACTCTGACCTCCACTAACCCCCTTTATCTATTTCTGTTTGTGTAAATGTCGCATAATTGAGACCAGAATTAAATAATGCATTGAAAAGTTCTTTATACATTGTAACCACTCATAAATAAAATGTCAACAGGACTTACTAATTATTTTTTTCTGTTCTACTTGAAGTTAGGACTACTTGAGCATATTTTGTACATTATGTCAAATAGTGCATAAATTAACACTATTCATCTTCAGGAAATTCAAGTATTGTTTCTACAGGAAAAATTTAAAGTATAGATGAGCTAAAAGAAAATGTCCAAAAACAACTGTTAAAATACATATTTTACCACAAATTCTAAGAAGAATCAGGGATGTGTGAAGCTTAGGTGCCCTGTATATGAGACTCATTTACTCAACATCTTAAAGACCAAAATTATACTAAAAGGTACCTGGAGTATTTAAAACAAACTGAAAACATAGTCTGCAAACATCAAAAGGGTGAGGAAAAGGAAAGTCAAAGAATGTTTCCAAGTGAATCAACTATCTGAAGGAAGATCAACTCTGGGGTAC